TCGCCCCCTCCCTCTCCACCTTCAAGACCCACCTCAAGACCCTCCTCTTCGACTATGCTTTCGTCTCCCTGCTTCCCCTCCTGCTCTCCCCCTTCCCCCATCCCGACCCTCAGTTCAGGTCCATAACTCTGTCTGTCCAGCGCCTTGGGACGTCCTCCCGATGTGAAAGGCGCGATACAAGTGTCATTTTGTTGTTGTTGTTGAGACATTAAACCCTGTGTGGGTGGATGTTAAAGATACCATGAAACTGTTGGAAAAGAGAAGGGAGAAAGGAAGAAATATGGCGTAATTTGAATCAGAAAGATTGTGGTTTAAGGAGAAGGTCCACTACCTCCTTGTCAAGGCAAATAGAGACTGGCAATAAATACTGGTCCTGCTGAGGTTACTAGAATGCAGGAACGAGTAATAATAATACTAACAATATGTTTATTTGATATAGCACCTCATCCTGTCTTCAAGACGTCTCAAAGCGCTTCACAGAATATAGTAAAGTGAATTGACTGTGTATCTTGTGGGAGAAATGCGGCAGCCAATTGTGCACAGCAGTGTCCCATCACAGTCGTGGATTGAGTGACCAAATTATTGTATATATCCGGGAATCAAACCAGGGTCCTCTCGCTTGCGAGGCGAGTGCTCTAACTACTGAGCTAACAAAGAAATAACAAAGAAATCAAATAATGACTGATGTGGTAAAGAGATATTTCACCCTAGGAATATAGCTATTAATTCACGTTGTATGGATACTGTAGTGGGATCATTACTCATCATCTAACCCTGTCTTTGGCTTGACAAGACTATTGGGTTGAGTGGTGTGGAGGAGGTTTTTCTCTGCATCTGAGCCATGCTGTTGGCAAACAGGCTGCTGTATTTGCCTACAAAACCACAGTCATTACATTTGACAGTAATTTGAGACATTTTGACATTGTAGGCTCTTCATCTGACACGAGGATTGTTATGAGAACTGTTTTGTGTAACCATCAGCTGGCTTCGTCGATAGCACTTGTGCCTCTGAGTCAGAAGGCTGTGGGACTTTATTGGGACTTTAAGCTCACAGTTAAGGTTGACACTACAATTCAGATGTGGTGTTTAACCAAGGTCTGCTGTTCAGGTTGTCTTCAAGGAGGCGATGGCACTATTTGAAAAGAGAAGGGAATTTGCCCTGGTTCCTGGCCAACAATCCATCAAGTGGTTGGTCACCACATGGCTGTCATTAGCACCGCAGCGTGGAAAGCTAGCTGTTGTGTTTACCCACAAAAGCACAGTCACTACACTTGGCAGTAATTTGAGACATTTTGATGTTTTAGACACTGCATCAAACAGATAGAGTTTTTAATGAGGATTGAGCTGTGTATACCTGAGGGAGGAGGAAATAGAGGGGAATGAGAGAGGGGATTAGGAGGGGTGCAGGTTTATGTGGAGTATAAACACCGGCATGGATAGTTGAGCCAAATACAATAATAAATTGGTCATTTTCAATCTACAACTAAACACAAACGTGGGACATTGCTGTGCGCAATTGGCTGCCGCGTTTGCCCACAAATATACAATCAATTCACTTTACAGTGTGTTCTGTGAAGCGCTTTGGGACGTCCTCCCGATGTGAAAAGCGCTATATCAAATACAAGGATTATTATTATTATTAAATGACCTGATTTGCACTGTAACATTTTATGTAATAATAATAATAATAATCCTTGCATTTGATATAGCGCTTTTCACGTCGGGAGGACGTCCCAAAGCGCTTCACAGAACACCCTGTAAAGTGAATTGACTGTATATTTGTGGGCGAACGCGGCAGCCAATTGCGCACAGCAATGTCCCACAAACAGTCGTAGATTGAAAATGACCAATTTAATTATTGTTTTTAGTTTTGGAGGGATTATTATTAGGCGTGTGGAGTAAGGAAACTTGCCCAAGGTTTCGCCCTCTGCCTGGAATTGAACTCAGGTCTCTCACTTGCAAAGCGAGTGCTCTAACCACTGAGCTACAGGACTCCAGAATGTACATAATTCTGTATAATTCTCCCAGTGTCCTGGCTAACAATCCCCTGATAAAATTGCTCATTCACTTCAGGACTGTTTGTTGAACACTGCTGTACAGTATACAAATTAGCTGCCACATTCACCTACAAAATATACAGTCTTTCCTTTACTAGTAAATACTGGTTCTCTATATACGGTGGAATTCTGTTAAACGAATACTCAATTTGACAGCGAAAGTTATTTAATTATTTAGATGAGGTGTGTTAATGGTTTGGTATTTCTAAATTCTATTGAACAATCCAAACTGTTCAATCGGTATTCAGTTAACTGAATTTCACTGTAGTACTTTCGAGTTGGATGCCGTGAAGCATTTTGAGAATTGTGATAGCATGAGAAGACAGGATAACAAATGCAAGGATTATGATTATGATCAGTTAATAAAATCTCTTGCACAACCTTGGTAAACATTAGATAAAACTTCTTCTCCATTAGTAAATTATTGAACTGAAAGCTGACATTTACAGTGGCCCAACATCCGATGAGAGTCAACATTTGACGTGATCCACCTTTCAGTAATTTGACAGTGATGTTCGCCTGAAGCAGAATTGGAGACATGGTTCTGTGTGTCTTGCTCTGTCAGTGCTGCAGATAATGAAACTGTGTCTCTCTTTGATCCAATTTCCTACTTCATGAAGAATGGGAACGTTGGGAACCAGGTCGTTCAGTCTAACCTAGCGGGAGGGGGGGGCGGTTGGAAATAACCCCCCCCTGACCACACTGTTGGGGTCACTAACCCGATTGTCAAACTATTTCTGCACCAACAAGAACACATCTTGCATTTATATAGCACCCCTTACTCAGGGTAGCATCTCAGAGCGCTTGACCATGGTGGAGCACCATGCTGAGCCAGGGTGAGACGGGAGTTGACTGTGGGCAAGGTCAAAAAGGAAGGTCTTTGGGTGCAACCTGAAGATGGGAAAGTTGGGGCAAGTCGGAGGGATTGGAAGAGATCTGCAATCAAAACTAAATCCAAGACTGGTTCTTCTCAAGTCTTGACTGTTGTGTCCTTCCCTAACCAGTTTGTCTAGCATTGAGTGTTTGGGGATATACAGCGTATTCTGTGCTGTACCAGGTCTGAGAATATCTCCTCTGTACTACTGGGGCTATGATCAGGCTTGTGTCTTACTGGTCAGCACAACCAGGTTTTTGGTGTAAACCCAACAGTGTAGACAAGGCACTGTACAGTGCTGTGGAGGGGAAGGGGGAGAATTGCAGACTCAGCCCAGGACGAAGGGATGAAAACCCGAGAAGAGACAACAACAACAACAAGATTACATTTGTATAGCGCCTTTCATGTCGGGAGGACGTCCCCTAAGAGAGGGAGGTGAAGTGAGGTCCATTGCACAGTGTATACAACTCAGACAACTGACACAGAGCAAACTCTGTATAGAAGAAGCCAATTATGTGTTACGATAGAATGTTAAATTATGGGTATGTTATTCTTACAACTAAACCTATAAATCACTGCTAGGCACTGTATTGAACATTTTATACATACAGATCTATCTCTTAACAGACACAAACAAACAAGAGAGCTTTTGCTAGTGTTTTCTATCAGAGGGAGCTAACACTATGTAATATACGAAGTTGTGTTACAGAGTTTATGTGCAGAGAGACAGCAGTGAGTTATGGAAGGAGCGTTGTTGCTTTATTAGAAAAGGAACTAACACTATATTATGGTCAGGAATGTGTATTGTGCACTTTCTGAGATACAGAGGAAGTTACTGTGTGTTTTACAATGGGCACAATGCAGTTCTAAAGTGCTTTGCCATTGGCCACTCAGATATATGCCTTCCCTAATGAGAAAAGGTGATGTAACCACAGGGATATATCATAAGATCACAAGCTTTGTTTGGACCTTGTGATATAGCCTTTGGCTCATCCAATCTCAACCCACTGTTGCCCTATCATAGCATCAGTGATTTTGACGAGTTCTGCTTTTTAATGAGTCCCAGCGTCCTGGCCTCAACCACCTTTCCTGCTGACGTTTGCAGTCGTTAATTACTCTTAAGCAAAGGAAAACTTCCTGGTATAGGTCCTGAAGTTGCCCTGTGTCCTCTTGTTCTACTGTCTTGTTGCATCCTTATGTATTGCTATAGGTTTACTCTTTCAATCTCATTGTCCATTCATTTAAATCTCTTTGTTTCCTCACCTGCTCGCTGAGAATTCTGGCATCTTGATTGTACTGTTTATTGTGATGTTTACAGAAAGTCCTCCGGGATGCTACCCCACGTGAAGGCCACTACATAAATGCAAATTGTTGTTGTTGTCAAATGGATAAATAGCGACTCGAGAGCACCCTGGTGCAAAGCTGTTATTTTACCTGTTTTATTTTAACAATTGAATAAGAAATTGGTCATCTAGCTTCAAGTTCTGACACCTTAGATTTTTCAACACGTTTTCGACCTTTCTTGTTTCTCTTTCTCTATTTTATTTTGTGCCAATACGGGCCATTTCTTTGAATTTTCCGCCTTTTCTCTTCCCAAACACAGAATTCTTCTCACTCTTCCTCCTTCCTTTTAGCTACCCTGTGTGAAGGGAGCTATGTAAATGCAAGCTTCGCCCACAAAATACAGTCAATTCATTTCACAGTGTATCCTGTGAAGCACTTTGAGAAGTCTTGATGATGTGATAAGATGCAATATCAAATACAAGGATTATTATTATTATTATTAAGTTGTTGTTGTTCCTACTGTTGAAAACAAGACAGTGTCCTTGGCCCCTTGGCCCTTCACCTGGGTTGCTCCTTTGAAGATGTTTTGCCCATAAAATATACAGTCAATTCACTTTACAGTGTATTCTGTGGAGCACTTTGAGACGTCTCAAAGACACGATAAGGCACTATATCAAATGCAAGGATTATAAGATTAATAACCTTCATATTGTTACTAGGAGCGTACACTGAGAGATTTTATACAAACTGTGAACTTTCACCTTCGACTCTTTTCTGTTTAACAGAAAGGCCACAGACCCAAGCCGCAGCGAAGGTAGAACGAGGTCCGCTTCAAGGAGACAAAATGTACAACGGCGGCACGAGTCCAGCGGCCAGGAACGTGGTGCGGAGTTCCAGCATAAGCGGCGAGATGTACGAAATGGAGAAAGCCAACAGCACCCAGAACGATGCCACCGTGCAGACGGGCATCAAGAAGAGGAGGTCCAGCCTCGGTGCCAAAATGGTGGCGATTGTTGGCCTTTCGCAGTGGAGCAAAAGCACAACTCAACTGAACCAGTCAGGTAAGGTGACACCTCAACCAATCTGAGCCCACGGCTGATCTGTACGATCACCTCCTCACCTGTCCATTGCCTTCGAAAACATCCAACTATATATTACTTTAAAGAAACTGATATAAGGTCGCCATATTATTGCACAATGTATCACTGCGTAACCTTATGAGAAGCCATGTTACCCGTTCCATCTTCATCACCCTGCCTACTGTATCAGGAGAACAGTGAAAGGTGGGTTAAGAAACCCTCACACAGTCCACGTGCTCTATTGATCTTTATTAATTTTTTACAATAATAATCGTCAAAGGCACAGTTTCAATCAATGTAGTTAATGAGAAATATGCAAAGACAATTATTAGCAACTTACATGAATAAACATCATATAACACTATCAAAGCACTAAACTGTACAGTGCACAAAAGGGTACTGAACCTGAAAGTTTATTGCAAAGATAATTGTACATTATTGGCTAATTAAAATTCAAGGCGTTATATGAATGTAAATTGTACTGTAACTGAGGGGTGATCTTTCAGACTCTGTACATTTGTAACTCGGTGAAAAGATTTTGTCCAAGTGTCGCTGAAGCGAACCGTGAAAGAGCTTGTAACTCAAGACGGAGCAGATGGTGACCAAGAGCACAGTGGTCAGTTGATATAGTCTGGATCAGCTTCAGCTCGTAGCTTGCACTTTAAGGAGGTGGAGGAGGGTTGTTTCTGTCAAAAATAAAGTGACGTAACACCAGAGCCTCCCTTATTCTGGCTGGACCTGTTCCTCCACTTGCAGACTGTACATCCCCTTGCACCTTTAACCAAAGGCATTGAGAATGTCACTGTTGAAAATCGCCGTCAGCCGCTGGGGTTTGGGGAAGTGCCGGTGTGTGGGGACAGCTCGGCAATGCCACAGGAGTAGTTGGAGGAGAGGAAACCATTCTAATCACCGGGGGTCTGGCAGCCGAGTTGGGTGGTAGAACATCGGCAAAAGTGATTTAGGTTCCCTGAGGAGAGTTGACACCTGCAGGATCATCACCAGGTTTATCATCCAGGAAATTCCGGGGGATATTTATAATGGTTGCACAGATCCAGCACACGGCAGGGTATCGCACGAGTACTGGAACCACAGTACAGTCTTCTAGCGTCCAGGTGACGCCAATCATTTTGAAGGAAAAGTCTTGTCCTGCTCACGAGCGCCAATTATTCTTTTCTTTTGCCTCACGTAAAGGTCACCACATCCATAAATAGGATTTCAGTGCTTTGTTGTTCAAGCATTTTGATCAGGTGCTTTGTATCGAGAGAGAAAGCATTTGCTTTGGTCTTTTCTAGATGGAGTTGTGCAGATCCTCTCTCAGAATAGCGACATTCCATGGGGAATTTTAACTAAGAATCAATTTGTTCCCCGTCTCCTCCAGCCCCCCAACCCCCCAGAATGTCTACCAAACTATGAAGTGGTATCCTGTCTACGTTACACATAGTAGAACTCGTGTAGTGAAACGCTGTTATTAGTAGTAGAGTAATAGCTTGGTTTCTCTACGTTCTTGGTTTCTGATAGAGAATATGTTTCCAGCTGCACAGACAATAAGAGACTGATATTTATGACTGTAAGCAACAGTAGCTGAAATGAAAGAATTTTTGGCTTAAAGCAGTGGTGATCAATCAGTGGCCTGCGGGCCGGAAGTTGTATATGGGGATGTCAAGAAATTGCCGCCACCTTCCACCCCGAACATTCGCACTGCACAATAGTGTAAATCAAGGAATATTTAATCAAGAAAATTTTGTATTTTGATAACGTTTAGCCACCACTGACTTAACAGATTCCCCATTCCTACCCATAGCCCAATCCGCCATGTTGGTTCCTTGACCTGTAGCCAAGATCACCTCTTCCTGCATTAACGCTGGTGTTAAAAGCCTCAGACAAGACAGAACTTAACTAAAAAAATGACACAGCTCTGAGCCCCCACCTGTTGAGTGAGACACCGTTTAAGGATTTTACTCTAATAACGGAGAAATGTTTGTGCCACAAAAAAGAATCACCAATATATATATATATATATAATTTGCCACACATTTTGACCAAACAAAATAATTCTTATATTCCCCCCACCCCCACAATTGCTGCTACTTTTGAATAATTTTATTGATAGAAAATTGCCAGGAATTTTGAGCCACCCATGGGCTGAGATCAAGACTAATCGTGCCATCTATTATTCTCCATATTTTCTGAGGGCTCCAGAACTCCTTGGACTCGACTCCTCAGTCATTCTTTCTTCCTATAATCTACAGCCTGTTCTAAATCCAAGCTTGGCATCACTATGTGGCAGCCTGTTTTATCTCATACTCTTTTCAGCCTCCCTGCCTAGGGGCCGGCACCCTGGGATTTCAAAAACAAAAGTCATTTCCCCTAAGAGGTTGCTGTTTTATTGTGCTCTTGTCGACACTGAATCCTTTCATTTCAGTGGCGCCACTTGCATAGCACTGAGCTCCAGCTCACGTCAGCTGGTAATACTCTTGCCTTTGGGGAAGAGAGATGTGGGTTCCAGCTCCACATCAGGGACTTGGTGCTCGCAGTCTTGGCTGACGCTCTAGCGCAGTTTTGGGAGACTGCTGCATTGCATTATCAGACTTGTCGAATGTTTGTCTGTTTTTCCAGCGTCTTGGCCAACAAGCAGATAAATTGCTTGTTCATTCGCCTCATAGCTGTTTGTGGGATGTTGCTGTACGCCACTGCCTGCCGTGTTCACCTAGAACTAAACAGTCACTACAACAACAACTTGTATTTATATAGTGCCCTTCATGCGGGGTATTGTCCCGGAGAGCTTACTACACTTTCTATACCGCACATTGAGTCGTTTCGATATTACAGGTGCAATGCACATATTATTATAATAATAATAATCCTTGCATTTGATATTGCATCTTATCACGTCATTGAGACGTCTCAAAGGGCTACACCGAATATATTGTAAAGCAGATTCTATGTGTATTTAATGGATGAAACGAGTGTTAATACAAAGTGCATTAGTTTGTCATGTAAAGCAAGGCAGAATTTAACAAGATAGCTTAGGGACTAGGAGGAAAGATCAGGAGATTACCTTCACTGTATTTGTTTAGGTAAGACACTCCTCTCTGGAGATATCTGATTAAAAATGACTTGTGTGATGAAACCAGTAGCTTTTGACTGTGACCTTTGCTTTGGTTGTACATCTGCTGGTAATTATAAAAATTTATAACTTAAAAAATAATTTGGATATATTACATAATCCCATGTAGACCAGTTAGTGCAGGACAAAGTTGTCTTTTTTTAACCTTTATTGCACCTTTTGGTTCCATGCTCACTTTTCACATAGTAGGCTTTCTTTCTTGTTAGTAGTTTTTGAAGGGGCTTCATGGTTCCCTCCAGCCAGTGCCTGGGACAGGCACAGTCAGGGATACAACACTACTAGCACATGATTACCACCCACATGGCCAGAGAAATGCGATCCTATTGTAGGTGCAGCCTTCTACTCATTCCGTGTTACCCTGTAATAATAATAATAATGTGGTTACTTAATCCACGTTTGTTTGTGGGACACTGCTGTGCGCAATTGGCTGCCGCATTTCGTCTACAAAACACAGTCACTACACTTTACAGTGCATCCTGTGAAGCGCTTTGAGATGTCTCAAAGATGTGATAAGGCGCTATATCAAATGCAAAGATTAATGTTATTATTATCATCGTCTGAGTGTGGCTTCACCTAACACTTCACTGCATTGGTAAACATGCCATCCTTTGGATGAGATGTTAAACTGAGGTCCTGTCTGCCTGTGGCGGTGGATATTAAAGATCCATGGCGCTATTGGAAAAGGGAATGGTGTTTCTCCTAGTGGTCAACAATCCTTGAGATAAGTTGATTATTCACTTCCTGGCTGGTTGTGTGATCTTGCTCTGTACAAGCTGACATGACAACTTTGAGATATTTTGACATTTTTGATATTTTCGTAGGCATTCAAATGTGAAGATTATAAGTTTACATATTTACTTTTCAAATTCCAATAGATTTGTAAGATCAGCCAGGGCTCTTGCTCTCAATCATTTTCTAGAACTATCCCGCCCCACCCAAACCGCCCCCCTCCCCCCACAAAAACTTTCCCCAGCAATCTTGAGTGTCCGTACTCACACATTATAGAACCATGGAAATCTAGAAGAAGAATATTTGATCCCATATATTAGTGACTCCACTAATTTTCCTAAGGTATATGACAGACACGAGCAGAATGGATAGTAAACAACTACTTTCCACCTCTAGACACACTTAGCAAAATAGCTAAACACTAAGAAGCCTCTGAACATAAGTTGACCCCATATCTATGGCCACTCTGTGGTTCTGGTCATCAAATGGTCTCCCTCATTTCAGAGATCTCTATCTCTGACAAAGAACATAAGAATTGCTGGACGAATGAAGACCAACATCCATCCAGTTTACTTTCCATCATCTTGGCAGTCGCATGCTCATGTCCCAAACTATACACTGTAACCCAAGATATTATTTCCTAAAAGAAATCTATCTAATTTGCTTTCGTTTTGAAAGCCATCTTGGACCAGGTCTTGCTCTCCCTTCTCCCCTCCCTGCCATGCCAGCCTGCCACCAACAGATGGCAATTCACACCTTCTTGTTAATTAAAACCCACCGTGATTCTATATACCTTTGATCTTTACAGTCAGAAAGGCTTTGAATATATTCTGTTTGAACCACTACCCTTTTTAGCCAGCTGGCTGTATAATTTTATACAAAGGCACTTTTAAAAATAGCACACTTCTCCCAATAGCGTGACAATTGCCTACTGCTTCCAAGTATTTCTTTAATTTAAACTAGCTAACGTGTTATTAATTCCTTAAAGCCTTACCCAACTTCAAATATCACCCGTACAGAACTTTTATCTTTCTAAAAACCAAAGTAAATGCTACATCCTCTAGCTAAGGCCTGCTGAAACATCTCAAAGCACTTCTCAGAGGTTTTACTTTACAGTGTAGTGACT